TTACAGATGGTTGTGAGCCACCATGTGGTTGCTGGGAATTGAACTCAGGACCTTTGGAAGAGCAAGCTGTGCTCTTAACCTCTGAGCCATCTCTCCAGCCCAATATTTTCTACTTTTATTTAACTGAGATATAACAGGACAGTACTTAATCTTTTAAATTGTTGAAAGACTCTTAATATTCTTTCAAAAAGAAATTTTTGAGTATATGAATCACACTGGCCTAAAACAATATAGATTAGCCTGCATCATTCTAACAAATCCTTAAATTGAGGACATGATCCACCACACCTATTCCTTACTATATTTATGTAACTGAGACTATGAGTCCTCCCATGCGTCCAGATCCTCACCTATCCATTGCCAGAACTGATCCGAAGATGGATATATGTATTGAGCATCATCTGGTCCTTGGGCTGCAGCTGTGGTGGGAACTGGAGCTTCCATAGTGGCTGGCTCTTCAGCCACTGATGGGTCAGTCTGGACTTCGCTAATGTGGGTAGACCAAGGTCAGGAGCTCCAGCTGTGGTGGGAACTGGAGTTTCCACTGAGGCTGGCCCTTCAGCCATTGCTGGATCAGGCTGCACTTCAACTGCTGTGGGTTGACCAGGGTCAGGAGCTGCAGCGTCAGGAGAGTGACGCAGGTGTCTCACATCAGACTGTTACCGTTACTGCAGACGCCGCCTCAGCATAGCAAGGTCGGTTTTTATAAGATCAGGAAGGCTTAATAAATGTGCCATGAGCTAGTAGACTCAGTAGTAATGCTAGTTAATCTGTTGTGTAAGTAGAACAGTTAAACTTAGTATGTCTATAAATATATACTTAGTAAGAAAGCCTAGAAATGAGCACAGTGGCAGGAAACTGTCAATTTGGAACTGAAAACTAGTATAATTAGTGCTGAGGCTGCAGCTTAGCAGTAAAACACTTGCCTAGTATGTGCAAGACTCTGGGTTTGGTCCCCAGCATCACAAAACTCTTACAGTTAGTGGTTTTACAAATGTGTACATAGAACATGAAAATACAAGTAAAACCATCTAAGACAGATGGACTAACTGGAGCACAGTCCCTCACTCCAGGGACTGTGCTCCACATGCAGTATAGATATTGTGGCTGGAGGTGGATCTCTGGCTGAGAGCACTGGCTGTTTTCTAGAGGACCCTGCTTGGATTTCCAGCACCCACATGGCTGCTTATAACTATGGAGTCTGTAACTCCAGGTCCAGGGGATCCAGCACCCTCTTCTGATCTCCCTGCGTACCACGCTCACACACAAAATTAAAGAACAACAAAAAACTGGATATGTGTGTGATTTTTAATTTTAAAAAAGGATTATTGGCAGGCATGTGGCACATGCCTGTAATTCCGGCACTTGTGTTGCTGATGCAGGAGAATTGCAAGTTCAAGGCTAACCTTGGCTACAGAGCAAGATTATTCTTTAATGAGGTAGAATTACATTCATTATATTAATAGATTCTCTCAGACCAGTCTATGCTCCTGGAATAAATTCTACTTGATCGTGATATATTATTTTATACTTTCATTATTGAATTTTTAGAAATAATCATTTTACATCATGTCAGTTATCTTCAATTAATGTATTTTATTTATTTAAGAAATGTTTGAGGGGTTGGTGATTTAGCTTAGTGGTAGAAGGCCCTGAGTTCAGTCCTCAGCTCTGAAAAAGAAAAAAAAAAAGGTTTGAGTATCTCCACTGAGTAAGCAGGCCCTCAAATGTTGAATTATATGCCCAGCCCTGGCAACTTGTTATTGTTTATAGTTTTTGTTTCTGATTAGTTTTTTGAGATCAGGTCTCGTAGCCCAGGATAGCATTGAATTCCTGACTCTACCTAAGTGCTGAGATTGTAAGTGTGCACCATCACCCCTAGCTCAGGGCTGGTTACTAGCCACATGTATGTATTTACCACCATTTGGCACAAGTACTAGGTCTTGTTAACTCTTTAGAAGGTTTGCAGTTCCCGTGTTTCCTTAATGAAGAAGCTGCATAGGACAGAATTGGGCACATTGCCACTATTATTTTTTAATTTATTTATTTTATGCGCATGTGCCTGGGTTTATGCACAAGCCTGCAGAGTTTCAGAAGAGGGTGTTGGATCCCCTGGAACTGGAGTTCCAGGTGGTTGTGAGCTGCCATGTGGGTGCTGGGAGTTGAACCAGGCCCTCTCTAAGCATACTCAGTACTTTGAACTGCTGAGCCATGGCTAGCCCTGCTACTTAACACTTCCGGCTTAGAATTGTAGCTGTGTAAGCAAATGCTTTCTTTGTCTAAGAACAATAATTGTTGCTTCTTAGAAAAAGCAGAGAGATCTCGCCAAGATGAGGAAATGCTTGAGACCAGAAGAGCTGACCAACCAGATGAACCAGATAGAGATAAGTGTGCAGCACGAGCAGCTGGAGGAGCGCTTCCAGGAGCTGGTGGAGGACTACCGGCGGGTCATTGAGCGGCTCGCTCAAGAGTGACCGCTCCCACTCCCCAGGACACCTGCAGACTGCTGTGCATTGTGCTGTGAAACCTCGGATGACCCTAAAGTTATCTATTGTTCTCCTTAGTGGAATATGCCTTCTGAGAGATTGTATATTTTAAAATACTGTCTAGAGTTTATGAACATATATTGCATTAATAAAAGATGGCTTGTGAAATACCACTGTTCTCTTCTTTTTTCTTTTTTTTCAAGACAGGGTTTCTCTGTGTAGTTTTGGTGCCTGTCCTGGATCTCGCTCTGTAGACCAGGCTGGCCTCGAACTCACAGAGATCGGCCTGGCTCTGCCTCCCGAGTGCTGGGATTAAAGGTGTGCGCCACCACTGCCTGGCCCACTGCTCTCTTAAAGAGTATGATAGGTGATTGGGGTGGTATATTAAGGTATACTGTGCTTAAGGATTTAAGATAAATCTTTTCAGTTTTACTAAAACCTTAAATTTTTAGTTGTTCGGTAGTGTACACCTGTAATCCGGCACTCAAGGCAGAAGCAGAACAGCCTAGGTTCCCATGTGAGACCTTGTCTTAAACAAAACCTAAAAATCAGCTGGAGAGAGAGCTCAAAGATTAAGAGTGCTCCCTGTGCAGCCGTGACTGAATTTGGATGTCAGCACCCGGGTAAGAAACTATCGGTCCAGCACACTCCTGAAGACCCAGCTCTGGGAGAGTGGAAACAGGAGAGTTGCTGGAGGTTGCTGGCTTCCAGCCTAGCCAATAAAGCATAAACCCTGCCTCAAAGAACAGCTTGAGCATCCCAGAGGTCTCCTACCCCCTTCCTTTGGCCTCTGTGCACACACCCACAAATGAATATCGAAAGCCAAAAGCACCTTACATTTTTTAAGTTTTAACTATTCCCTATCTTTAAAACCCGCTTCTTTGGATCTTCTTAGTAGTCTTGATTTTCCTGTCTGGCATTAGTTTTTAATGTCAGCTTACAAGGTGATGGGTTTCTTTATAGCATCTTTGTGTGTGCTTTGGTTGGTTCTCTTTTCACTTCTGCTGCTTCCCCATAGGAGTTTTCTACATTGGAAATTAGGTGGCTATGCTTAGAAAAACTCCTTCCTGTCTTAACTGCTTATTTCGGGTAAGGGAAACCAGAAACTAGGTGTACCCTAAAACCTCAATGTTTAGCATCAAATATTAACTGAAGATAGGTATTAGCACAAAATATAAGTAATATAAACATGACAGATATTATAAAAATACAATTTGAACCCAGGATATGGTACAGGCCTATCTTCTAGCACTCAGGAGGCAGAGCTAGAAAGGTCATGACTTAAAGCCTGCCTGGGCTATGTGGCAAATGCTTATCACAAAGTAAAAAACTTACACCATGTGTGATACGAATGTGTATTTGTCAAGTATTTTCTATAAGATTACCATAGTACTGAAATACATCAAGAAGTTAAAGTAATGACAAATTATTATTTAATAGTCATTTCTAATGAAGTAGAGTAAAATAAACTGCTTTATACAGAACTATGATAAGGGAAAGTCTGATGTTTAGAATGTACATCAGTAAACAAATGTTAACATCAAAAAACAGCTGTAAGGGGCCTGGAGAGATGGCTCAGCAGTGATCAACACATAGAGCTTAACAGACCCCAGTCTAATACCCAGTACCCGTATGGCAGCTCATAATTGTAATTCCAGTTCCAGGGGATCTGATGCCCTCTTCTGACCTCTGTGGGCACCAGGTAGGCATGTAGTTCACAGACATGCATGCAGGCAAACCACACATTAAAATATCAAAACATTTTTTAAAAAATTGACTTATGCTATATTACAGATGGCATGGAGTATAATATGGAATATCCTAAATTTTCAGGGGAAAAAATACAAATAACATGGGCCCTAATAGAATTTAACACTAGCATGTTGTGGGGTAATCTTTTTGTACACTGTGAAGATGTGTCACTCGACTGGTTTAATAAAGAGATGAATGACCAATAGCTAGGCAGGAGAGGACAGGTGAGATTTCCAGGGAGAGGGAGGAAGAGGAGGAATCTAGATGGGGATTTAAATTCACCAGCAGACTCGGAGCAAGTCGGACATGTACTGAGAAAAGGTAAAAGCCATGTGGCAGAACATAGATTAATGGAAGCAGGTTAATTTGAGTTCTAAGAGTTCGTTGGGTAAAAGCCTAAGCTAAGGCCAAGCTTTCATAATAATATGTCTCCATGTCACTTGTGGGCTGGCAGTCCAAGGAAGTGACAAGAAAGCTTGCTATGCTAGCTCTATGAACTACACTGTGTGTCAAAAAGACAGTAGGACAAAAACCTTCAAAGTTAAGCTACATCTAAATTACCAGTCAAGTCTGTGAGAAAAAAAAAAAAAAGATGGTTCTTAGAAATCTGAGACTAGAAAACTTACTTTGTGATGATGCTATTCAGAGATTCATGGGAGCAGCATGAAGACAAAACCAAAGAGCATGAAGGATGAGAAGCTCGAGAGCGGAGCGGGCAGGAGATGTAGCTCAGAGGCAGACTGTCTCCCTAGCTTCAATATCCAGTGCCAAAAGCAGCTGAAGTTAAAACTGAAGTTTAAAGAATAAAAAGCTGTCACATTTTTAGGATGGTTTTTGATCCATGGTTTGAATATGAAAGATCCTCCACAGATTCATGCACCAGATGCTTGGTCATAAACTGGTGACATTATTTTTAGAAGTGAAGACAACTTCAGGAAGTTGGGACCAGCTAGAAAAACTAGACCACTGGGGTCATGTCCTTGTACATTCTATTCTCTGGCCCTTTCTGGCCTCTTTCATTGCTTTCTACAACCAGAAGAATAGGCTTCAAAGCCACTCATCCCAGCATGATGTTCTGTTCAAGGACATGAGACCAGGACACCATAGGCTCAACCTTCAATTCCCATGAGCAACAACAACAAAGAGTCCTTTCCAACAGGTTGTTGCTCTCTGGTTATCATGCTACAAAAAGCCTAATTCAAGGAGAATAGCTAGCTAAATCAAATATAACCCGTTATGTAGAAATGGAATTGTGTCTTAATAAAAAATTATAAACTGTAAAAAAAAAAAAACAAGAAAAGAAAGCAAAATGAATCTGATTCCAATAAAAAGAAGCCCCCAGGTGGCAAGTGGATAGCCTGTCTGAGAATGAAACCAGTCCAAACCGGAATAGGAAATCAGAACTCCAGGGGAAGAGTACCGGAAAGCCGAAGGGCAAACACCATCAACTACAGCTGAATGGTTTTGAGCAGCAGCTGAAAAGCAATGGTTCGAAGTGGTTGAGGAGAGTCAGATTGGGAAAGCATAGGACGGGAAACCATTGCGTTTCATCATAAGCCTTGTAAGATGATAGGTCCATTTAAAAATACATACTGTATACATGCTACTTTGATATTAGTCATATTTCTTTGTTTTTGAGGTAGGCTTCACTGGGTACCCCCGGCTGTCTTTGAACTCATTATGTAGATCAAACTTCCCTGGAACTCACAGAGCTCAGCCTCCCTCTGCTTCCGGAGTGCTTATTAAAGGTATATAACACCACACATTATTATATTCTTCAGTAGCTGGTTTCTATATGACTGTCAAAGAAAAAAATTAAAAGGCACAGAAAAATTCTAAGGCTTATCTGAAGTAAGTAAGCAGAGCCTTTACATGAGGGTGTATAACAATTAGTATTTCCCCAGACTTCACAAAAAAAGCAGAGTTCACTAGGTGAAGAAACTTAACAGCCTGGTGTGATGGCGCATGCCTTCTTTCAGTCCTAGCATTTGGGAGGCAGAGCAGAGAACATCTCTGAGTTCACCGCCAGCTTCGTCTACACAGTGAGTTCCAGACAAGTCAGGGATACATAGTGAGACCCTGTCTCTCCACAACAAACAAACAAAAAATAACACAAAACAACACTAATAATGATAATTTCCTTGATCCTCAAAGGAATCAATCTATCGTGTACTTTATTGGCAAACATTTTAATGGGAAATTTTCCTGCTAAAAAACTGTGGGTGGGTGAGGTGGCCCAGTGGATAACGCTGCTTGGCATGGAGCACGAGAGCATGAGCTCAATACCAGAGACCCCACACAACGAAAGGAGAAAACTGACTCCTACAAGTTGCCTGTCTGACCAACACACACACACACACCAAGTGTTGGTCAGACAGCTCAGTGGTTAAGATCACTGGCTGCTCTTCCAGAGGACCCGTGTTCAGTTCCCAACAATCACAGGGTGGCTCACAACCATCTGTAACTCTAGTTCCAGGGGATCTGATGCCCTCTTCTGGCCTCCTCGGGCACCAGGCATGTGTGTGGTGCACAGATGTAAGCAAAACACCCATACACATAAACAGTGAAAAATAAACAAAAATGTCATTAAAAAATTAAAAGAAAAAAGTCTTTCCATCCTAGACACTCTGGCGCCGTGAACAGCGGACACCAGCAGTGCAGCTAAAGCTCTGAAAGTGAACATAATTTGATGGCTTTTCATGAACCCTGGGGAAACAGAAAGCAATAGAAATGACATGGATTCACTTATGGATGAGTTGCTGTAGGAAACTATAAGGAGCCGGTGGGTGTTGCACACCTTTAATCCCAGCACTCAGGAGGAGGCAGAGGCTGGCAGATCTCAGAGTCTGAAACCAGCCATCCTGGTCTACAGAGCAAGTTCCAGGACAGCCAGGGCTACACAGAAGAACTCTGCCTTGGAAAAAAACAAAACAAAACAAAAACTACAAGGAGTGCCTTAGACACAGATAAACAATTTTTCAATTTCCAGTTTTGTTTACTAATACACCATTTACTATAGCCAAACTACAGAGCCAGCCTGGATGCCCCCTTTTTTTTTAGATGAATGAATAATGATGCATAGATATACACAATGGAGTTTTATTTGACCATAAAGAAAAGTGAAATTGGTTCATTTGAAAAAAAAAATGGCTAGAACTGAAGATCATCATGTTAGGGGAAATAAACCATGTGATAAGTGAGGTCTAAAGGAACAAGAAAGGTTAAGAGTGGAAAGAAAGACAAACACACATTCGTTCTCATGTGTGGAACCTAGATTCAACAGCATACACATATGACAGCCTGGACTTGAGAGCAAGTTCCAGGACAGCCAAGGCTACGCAGAGAAAGCCTGTCTAGAAAAACAAACGAATAAACAAACACACAAATATTAATACTTTTAAGAGGAAAAACACCTTCC